CTTTTTTGCCACTCGACCCGTGTGCACTTATATTTCCATAAAAAAATTCTGAAGTTTCATTCAATACGAACAATTCAAGTAATACTATTATTTCCAAAACGTTAGTGCATCCCGCACTCTGAAACCCTGTATCCGGGTCCGGGTCCGGATCCGGATCCGGATCCAAGTAAATATTCAAAACACTCAATCAGATATTTCAAAACATGCTAAAACATCATAAATAAATTATGGAATAATTTGGAAACAAGTTGAAAAAACATCGCCTGTTTTGGAATTGAGGAACCTTACCCGCTTGGTATTTTGATCTGAAATAACCAAAAATTAAATTATGTTATTTTTTGATGAAATATAATACACATACTCAATTAAACTACCTAAGAATGAATATAAAATTTATTTTCTCAAAATCACTCAAAACTAGGTCAATTTGACCTCGGAGGGAAAAACTGTCATTCTACTCCTCACTTTGATCCGGCCGTTGGATCGACTTGGAATTTTACCGAGACTTCCGCATGAACATTACGGAGCTTTTGGAATAAACCAGAGGTCGATCAGAGGTCTGGTAAAACCAAAATTACCATCGGAGTTCACTGCCCACTTCATCTTCAACCTTTGTTTATTTTGACTTTTGTTTTAAGTGTAGAAATTTCTGCTCAACCATCCCTAGTTCTCTCACCAAAGTACATCATATCTTTTGATTTTAACATCCACATACTCCTTGGATAACCTAGTATCAATCCTACTTAGACTCAACCTTTGAATTAAATTCTAGCATCATCAAATTATTGGTCAAAGTTGGCCAACAAAACTATTTTTTAAACACAAGGGCAGACCTGCAACTGCTTGTTTCACCCCCAAAACTACTTCTAAATCCAATTATGAGACCGAAAATGGATGCCTTAATCCCAAATTAGATAGACCTAAGCTCCCTTTCAAAGCTTAAACAAGTTTTGATCAAAATCACATTTTCACTTCTTCAAAACCCTCACACCATCATTACACCACCACACACTACGACAAACCATCAAACCCTCACTAAACAACTCCTTAAGATCCCCCAAACTCAGTTATACCAAACAATTAACCCAAATCATGCTCAAACCTCCAGCCCGTTTCAAAATTCAAAAATCCATTAAACTTTAAAACACAAATTCATGCATTAAAACTAAACCAAATCAAAATCTAATTACATATATGAGTTCTTAACATCCATATTAGACTGTGAGTATACTTCTTAGTGCTCGAAATGGTCTCTACAAGAATTCGAAAATGCAAAGTCTATAGTTTCTCTCTCTAACTTCTCTTTCTCCTCTCTCTCTTTTCCCACCAAATCCTTCTCCATTTTATACCCCTTCAAGCAGCTCTCCCCAAGCAGCTGGGTGTCCTCCATACAACATAGCAAGCCTCTATCAGCCACTTTGCATGTGTAAAAAAATCTTGACACTTCCATGACAGTTTGGTAATTTTCCTATTTTATCTAATTTCGAAAATTAATTAAAAATATTTTTTTTTCACGATCACATATCTATTAAATCAAGCACTATAAAATTATCAATTAAAATTTTGGACATCGATTTGAACTCCTAACCGTACACATCCAACGATTTCTAATTATCGAAACTCAGTTATTACAGTAATAGTGTATGTGTATGTATGTATTTTGATGTAGTAATATGTGTGTGTTTATTTTAGTATAATTGTGTGTGTGTTTATTTGGTGTAATTGTGTGTGTGTAATTTATGGGTTAATGGATTTAACCCAACTCATTATAACCCAACCCATTAACACCCATTTATTACGTGAGTGAAAAATAGAATTAATTTATTTTTAACCCAGCTCATAACTAACCCAACTCACCTATTTGCCACTTATAGTTTGAAGGATAGATAAAATATCATATTTGGTATGGAAGAAAATANTTTAATTTATTTTCAACCCAGCTCATAACCAACCCAACTCACATATTTGCCACTTATAGTTTGAAGGATAGATAAAATATCATATTTGGTAAGGAAGAAAATAGGAAGGATGAAAAAGTTGATGAATAAGTTTTCTTTCAACTAACCAAAATCAATTCCTCTAAAATTGGAAGGAAAGTGGATGAAAAATTAATCATTTGTGTTAAAATATATCTTATTTGTCTGTATATCTTTTGATATATGCATATATTATGTATACATTAATTTTATAAATAAATACAATGATAAAATATGTATTTATATATTTTTTTAAAAAATTTAAAATAAAAATTTTAAAAAATAAAAAATAAAAAAAATATTTTTTCTATTTTACCAAGTACAAAAAAAAAAAAAACTGTATTATTTTTACTTTCCTTCTTTAAATAATAGAAAGTGTATCTCGTCTATTTTTTATCTCATATTTTTCATCATGAAGGATATAATAATGGAAGTTCTTGAGCACAATTTAAAGTTCTTTATGATCCCTTCCATATCGATCTGCATTTTGTTTTCCTAAGATTTTTGTGATTGCTTGGGCTTCCAGAATTCCCAAAAAAATGTATGAAGCAAAATCTGTAAAGAATCGGATCCCGACAGCAAAGGTGAGTTAATATGAACCTTTCAGATTCTGCCTAGGAGGCTGGAACACCACACCAAGCACGGCTAACCCGCCAAGCTAATTCTTTTATATCTTAACCGTCCAAAAGTCCCTCTCTGCCGAGATTATAAAGAACCAGTGACCATGATTTGATAATATGTGATTTACGTCCCAGAACTAGCTCTGTAGTATTAACATTCGATGGTGTGATACGGAGCTGACAAAAGCTTAGCAGGAGTATGATTTTTTTTTAGGCATCTTAACTCCATATATTCACTAGAGAGTATTGTCCCTCAATATCACACAGTTATTTACAAAAAATCTCGCTGCACTTATGTCGGAGTTGAAGGTAAGATTTTATCATTTGTTTGGAAGCTGAAGAGTAGGTTTAGTCCCACTTAATTACCATAGTTGTGAAAATTCGAATTTAATTATTGAGTAAATAAATTTGAATCTTTACCCACTAAACCAACCACTCGACAATAGCAGCAGTATGATTGCGGAAACAAAAATTATGCACATTGAGAGACAGTCAAAACTTTAGAATCTGATCCGATTAAGCCAAAGCAATGAAAAAGTATCTAAAAATTTAATTTGTCAAGTACAAGCGGAATTGAAAACCCTAGTCAAAAGAATTATGTTTTTGAAGGTACTTCAGTTTTTTAAAAGTACTCTTTTTTTAGTAGGGTTTGTAATTTTATTTTTGCCTTTTTCTTATTGGGCGTTTTCACTTCTTTCAAATAAAATCACATACATAATTAGAATATCTCTATTTAAAACTTAAATTTAAAAACTAAATTTGAGAAAAAAGCTTGATTTGATATAAAACACTTTAATGGATAAATTCATATATCTACTCAATTTTTATTAAAAAATCTCTAATTATCCCAAAACTCATTTTTTTTAAAAGTTTTTTTCACCAAAATATTTTATCCAATATTAAAACTTATTTCTTAAAATACTTACTAATGTTAACCAAAAGAAAAGTCAGGAATATCATCATCTTTGAGTGGTAGATTTGCGAGCCTTTTAAAGTATGAGAGACAAGAGAGAGAATAAAAAGTTACTGTCGAATAATAGAGGCAGGAGAAGTAAGTTCTTGTTCAATCGAAGGAGTCTTAGGTTTGGATAGGATAAAAAATTATCATTGAAAATTTGATATAATATTTGAATCTCTTTCAATTTGGGTTTAGAATAAGTTTTGCTTTAATTTGGTATAAATTTGAGTCGAAGGTTGAGAAAATTTTTTAGACTATTTTGACTTAAATTTAAATTTATACCTGGATTAGAGATGCCATAATATATTATACACATATATAAAAAAGAACAATTCATTACTACAATACCACTATATTTATATATGCTGAAGTCATAGGCGGATTTAAGGTTAACACTGAAAAAGCATTAGAAATCACGAGAAAATGGATAATACCAATCATAAACAAATTGGATTAAACTTCGACCATTTTAAGCAATTAATTAAACCGAACAAAGGAGCATCGATTGATAAAATAGATACAGACCACAAAATACCACGGTTCGACACCATCTCATGGCTCAATTGACCTCCCTGATCTCGTGGTGGCGGTTTGTTTTTCCGTGAGACGGGTTCATGTAGGTGAGCAGGCTAGCACTCACCCAAATAGGTTGTACTTTTAATAAAGTCACTCAACCGTCTCTCCCCGACCCTAGATTGCCATTTTGTGGAGAAAATATTAAATATAATCATGATATTAGGTCCCTATTATCACACAGTATCATTATTACTACTGTTTATTTAAGTTAATAACTAATTACTCTTCTCTTTATATAAATTAATAATTACTTAAGTGTGATTTATCTTACCCATTTTTTATTGAATAGTGTTATACATTCTAAATGAAACATAAAAAAATTGCAACTTAAATAAATATAAGTGAGTCTCATCCACTTTTTTTATGAGACTCGCTCATTAAACATTCATTAGAGGCATGATATGTATTTGTCTTATAATTTTTAAATTTTATTTTGATTGTGTAGTAATTTTTTTCATATTTTATTATTAATTGACAATATTATGTAATAATGATGATATGAAATCACATTTGTATAAAATATTTACTCTATTTTGTGCCATCAACCGGTTAAAAAGGTTAAAACACACGTGGGGTATTCGACGCCTCCAACTGCCAATAACTAACTGTTTCAGGTTTTAATGTTCCCGCCATTGATCACAAAGCCAAAAATACCCATGTTTGAGTCGGTGAACGCCAACCACTTGTTTTTTAACCTCAAAAACAAATCTTTACTCAGAATCTAGGAACAAAAAAAATACACCGGACACCATTTGAGCCGTCCCTACTCTCCCTTCCTAACCAAGGCTATTTTTTCCTCTCCCACTCTAGCTCTCAAACTTTTTCTTTTGTTTGCATTCGAGTATTTCATATTTAATCCAGCTTAGGTTCATGGAAGTCTATGCTAGAGCCCTGGCAGCCTTTATCGTGGGGTGGTTTGCTCTCTTCCACGGTCTTTTAATTGCTGTTAATGGCGAATTTGATTATGCAGACGCGCTCACCAAATCAATAATTTTCCTAGAGGCACAGAGATCAGGAAAGCTGCCTCCCAACCATAGACCCTCTTGGAGAGGAGATTCTGCCCTTGAAGATGGCAAACTTGCAAACGTTTGCTCTTTCTCTCTCTCCCCAATCAATTGCTCTTCTTGTTTTTAGAAAAATATTACGGAACATATCAAAGTTATTATGGAAATTCACAACTTTGTTTGGGTTCTTATATATAATTCTTTTCTTCTTTTTTTTTTTTCTCCTAATGTTCTTTCCTGATTTCTTTAAACCAAATTTGGTCATTCTTTAGTTTACACCACCTGATTTTGTGTCCATAAGTAGTGACAATTGCCTTAGGAAGACTTGCTTTCTTTGTTACTCGGGTTGATAATAGTAGATACAAACAATGCCTATAAGGAGCCCTTTAAGATGCAAGAAATAGTAAAAGGTGAGGTTGTAAAGGAGCATATATATGTTAGGATTCAAGTCCTTTCAATTAACATTTGGCATTACTCTTATAAAAAAAGGACAAACCTGAACGATTTCATGGATCAAGTGCGCTACTCATCATCTTCCACAGCACCGATGCTGATCTTGAATTTAAATTCAAGGATGAGGATAAAAATATCAATTTTCTTAATATATGAGTTCTTTGAAGTCATGTATATTTGAATTTATGCAGGTGGACCTGGTAGGGGGGTACTATGATGCAGGTGATAACGTGAAGTATGGGCTTCCAATGGCTTTCACAGTTACGACCCTTTCATGGGCTGCTATCTTTTATGAATCAGAGCTGAAAGCAGCTGGGGAGATGGAAAATGTCCGTGCTGCCATTCGTTGGGGCACTGATTACTTCATAAAAGCCAGTTCTAGACGTGACTGTTTATACGTGCAGGCAAACCCTCTTTCTCCTACAATACGAACTTCTAAAATTACAGCCCAATCAATTTCTTATGTAAAAAAAGGTTGGACTTCGGGTAGGGAAGGGACGGAATCAGGAAATCAACATGAGGTGTCCAAATAAAAATAATGGTACAATTAAGTATATTATTATTTTTAATTATGAAGACTCTATCACCTTTCACAAAAAAAATATTCCTTACTTATCCTTGAGAAATTTAATTTGTAACAATTTCATGATCANATGTTTTTGAAGGTACTTCAGTTTTTTAAAAGTACTCTTTTTTTAGTAGGGTTTGTAATTTTATTTTTGCCTTTTTCTTATTGGGCGTTTTCACTTCTTTCAAATAAAATCACATACATAATTAGAATATCTCTATTTAAAACTTAAATTTAAAAACTAAATTTGAGAAAAAAGCTTGATTTGATATAAAACACTTTAATGGATAAATTCATATATCTACTCAATTTTTATTAAAAAATCTCTAATTATCCCAAAACTCATTTTTTTTAAAAGTTTTTTTCACCAAAATATTTTATCCAATATTAAAACTTATTTCTTAAAATACTTACTNATATTTTTAATTATGAAGACTCTATCACCTTTCACAAAAAAATATTCCTTACTTATCCTTGAGAAATTTAATTTGTAACAATTTCATGATCAATTATTCTCTTATTTATGATATAATGCAAAAATTTTGAATTATATACCATCATAAAAATTTGCATGATACAATTGAAAACGTTAGTTATGAGTTAATGCATTATTGATGAGATAAAGTCATGTTTTTTAATACCTTAAGTTTGTAGCAATTTTTTTTCTTTTTTCTGTTGGTCATCCAATTTGCCTAAACAAATATTTTCTTCTATAAAAACTCTGTCGTCCATATGAACTATTCATCATTTGGTTACTAAATATTTGATTTGATGCTATTATGCTTTTTGAATACACTAATTGAATATCTTTTATACAAAAAAAAAAAATAAAGTTTTTTAAAACCAACTAGGACATATTATAATTCTTTAAAACCTAAAGCGGGAATAAGGCCATTGAAATGACAATTTTTTGAAGCAAGTTTGACGTGTTAGGTTTGTTTGGTTGGTTTTACCTTCCGATTTTTTGTTTTGATGTTGTAGGACAATTACCTCTATGGTGAGAATTGCTTTTCATGTTGATAATTAACCCTTCACTTATGTANGTCACACAGTATCATTATTACTACTGTTTATTTAAGTTAATAACTAATTACTCTTCTCTTTATATAAATTAATAATTACTTAAGTGTGATTTATCTTACCCATTTTTTATTGAATAGTGTTATACATTCTAAATGAAACATAAAAAAATTGCAACTTAAATAAATATAAGTGAGTCTCATCCACTTTTTTTATGAGACTCGCTCATTAAACATTCATTAGAGGCATGATATGTATTTGTCTTATAATTTTTAAATTTTATTTTGATTGTGTAGTAATTTTTTTCATATTTTATTATTAATTGACAATATTATGTAATAATGATGATATGATATCACATTTGTATAAAATATTTACTCTATTTTGTGCCATCAACCGGTTAAAAAGGTTAAAACACACGTGGGGTATTCGACGCCTCCAACTGCCAATAACTAACTGTTTCAGGTTTTAATGTTCCCGCCATTGATCACAAAGCCAAAAATACCCATGTTTGAGTCGGTGAACGCCAACCACTTGTTTTTTAACCTCAAAAACAAATCTTTACTCAGAATCTAGGAACAAAAAAAATACACCGGACACCATTTGAGTCGTCCCTACTCTCCCTTCCTAACCAAGGCTATTTTTTCCTCTCCCACTCTAGCTCTCAAACTTTTTCTTTTGTTTGCATTCGAGTATTTCATATTTAATCCAGCTTAGGTTCATGGAAGTCTATGCTAGAGCCCTGGCAGCCTTTATCGTGGGGTGGTTTGCTCTCTTCCACGGTCTTTTAATTGCTGTTAATGGCGAATTTGATTATGCAGACGCGCTCACCAAATCAATAATTTTCCTAGAGGCACAGAGATCAGGAAAGCTGCCTCCCAACCATAGACCCTCTTGGAGAGGAGATTCTGCCCTTGAAGATGGCAAACTTGCAAACGTTTGCTCTCTCTCTCTCCCCCCAATCAATTGCTCTTCTTGTTTTTAGAAAAATATTACGGAACATATCAAAGTTATTATGGAAATTCACAACTTTGTTTGGGTTCTTATATATAATTCTTTTCTTCTTTTTTTTTTTCTCCTAATGTTCTTTCCTGATTTCTTTAAACCAAATTTGGTCATTCTTTAGTTTACACCACCTGATTTTGTGTCCATAAGTAGTGACAATTGCCTTAGGAAGACTTGCTTTCTTTGTTACTCGGGTTGATAATAGTAGATACAAACAATGCCTATAAGGAGCCCTTTAAGATGCAAGAAATAGTAAAAGGTGAGGTTGTAAAGGAGCATATATATGTTAGGATTCAAGTCCTTTCAATTAACATTTGGCATTACTCTTATAAAAAAAGGACAAACCTGAACGATTTCATGGATCAAGTGCGCTACTCATCATCTTCCACAGCACCGATGCTGATCTTGAATTTAAATTCAAGGATGAGGATAAAAATATCAATTTTCTTAATATATGAGTTCTTTGAAGTCATGTATATTTGAATTTATGCAGGTGGACCTGGTAGGGGGGTACTATGATGCAGGTGATAACGTGAAGTATGGGCTTCCAATGGCTTTCACAGTTACGACCCTTTCATGGGCTGCTATCTTTTATGAATCAGAGCTGAAAGCAGCTGGGGAGATGGAAAATGTCCGTGCTGCCATTCGTTGGGGCACTGATTACTTCATAAAAGCCAGTTCTAGACGTGACCGTTTATACGTGCAGGCAAACCCTCTTTCTCCTACGATACGAACTTCTAAAATTACAGCCCAATCAATTTCTTATGTAAAAAAAGGTTGGACTTCGGGTAGGGAAGGGACGGAATCAGGAAATCAACATGAGGTGTCCAAATAAAAATAATGGTACAATTAAGTATATTATTATTTTTAATTATGAAGACTCTATCACCTTTCACAAAAAAATATTCCTTACTTATCCTTGAGAAATTTAATTTGTAACAATTTCATGATCAATTATTCTCTTATTTATGATATAATGCAAAAATTTTGAATTATATACCATCATAAAAATTTGCATGATACAATTGAAAACGTTAGTTATGAGTTAATGCATTATTGATGAGATAAAGTCATGTTTTTTATACCTTAAGTTTGTAGCAATTTTTTTTCTTTTTTCTGTTGGTCATCCAATTTGCCTAAACAAATATTTTCTTCTATAAAAACTCTGTCGTCCATATGAACTATTCATCATTTGGTTACTAAATATTTGATTTGATGCTATTATGCTTTTTGAATACACTAATTGAATATCTTTTATACAAAAAAAAAAAATAAAGTTTTTTAAAACCAACTAGGACATATTATAATTCTTTAAAACCTAAAGCGGGAATAAGGCCATTGAAATGACAATTTTTTGAAGCAAGTTTGACGTGTTAGGTTTGTTTGGTTGGTTTTACCTTCCGATTTTTTGTTTTGATGTTGTAGGACAATTACCTCTATGGTGAGAATTGCTTTTCATGTTGATAATTAACCCTTCACTTATGTATCTTGAGGGGTTTAAATCTCTTCAAACACATTTTTCCTCAATCACTCAATTTGTAATGCAGAAATAAACATCCTCAGAATAAGCTTCGCAACTATGCAATTGATCTTTGAGATAGAAGAGACGTTTATCGATAAGTTTGTTAACGGAACCATTTATGTGTAGTTAGTCTCATTTTGATTCATACATAACCTTGGACCAACTATTGAGAAAATTAATAGCAAGTTCACTCGAGAAAATCAAAGTCCTAACTTTTTATGGTTTATCTTAATTAAACATCATATTTCATGACAAAAATTGTTGTAGTTCTTCCGTCCCTTCCCTCTCCCTCATTATGGCAATCTATGTTAAACATATCCGTAATTTTGATCAAATAAGGTCATAGGGAGGATTTGGAGACGCAAAGCTATTACAAAATTATTTATAAAAGGTTGATATTTTGTGCATTCATTATCAAGGTGGGAGACCCAGTACAAGATCATCAATGTTGGGTGCGGCCAGAAAACATGAAAACACCAAGAACTGTACTACATATTGACCAAAATGCCCCTGGAACAGAGATTGCAGCCGAAACATCTGCAGCAATGGCTGCTGCTTCTGTTGTCTTTAGAGACATCGATCAAGCTTATGCTCGTCGTCTCCTCAACAAAGCCAAATTGGTATTTCAGTAGTCTTGATGTTCACTTTGACTTAATGATCCTAGCTATTTAATGTCTTTGACAAGGACAATATTTTTTGATAACCAACTGATGATATGCTTAAGATCGATTTTGTTTCTTATTTTGCAGCTTTTTCAGTTTGCCAAAACACACAAAGGGACTTATGATGGTGAATGCCCCTTCTACTGCTCTTTCTCAGGCTATAATGTACTCTCTCTCTCTCTCTCTCTCTTTCTCTCTCTCTCTCTCTCTCGTGTGCGTGCGTGCATGCGTACATGCATGCTTGTGCTTGCCCAAAGCCCAAACTTAGCCTAGACATGAATGAATATACAAAGGCAAAGCAACCTACTTCAGGCACGACACAACTAGTTATGTTAATCAAACTAAGTTTTTGTATCTGAGTCCACTCAAATTCAACTCCATTATGATTGGTCATATTGGACTATTTAAGCTTAAATTCTTTTTGAAGCTCAGTTATGCAAAACCTTACTAGTATTGGAGCAAAACTCTTTAAAAATCGAGCTTGATTTCTCAACAAAAATCCTTAAAAATTAAACGTGACTTTCATGATTAGTACTAAACTAACAAATTTTGTCAGCACGAATCTTTCAAAATATGCATAATCAACCTAAATTGAACCTTCGAGCTTAATGCTCCATTTGGTAGGAAGGACGAAAAATAGAAAGGATGAACAGTAGGAGAGATACACTTTCTATCATTTAAGGATGAAAAGTAGAAATGATACACTTTCTTTCTTTTGTGTTTGGTCAGATGGATGAAAAATAAAATTGACTAATTTTTAAATTTTTTTTTTGTCTAATATTAGGGGTGTCAATCAAGTCGTGTCAGATTCGTGCTGAGTCATAAAATTATGAGTATTTTATATTTTTTATTCACATGTCAAGTTATTTTCACGTTTGTTTCGAGTTATAATCAAATTCATGTCATAAAATTTGCATCGAGTTTGAGTCGAAAATTTTTATCCAAAATTAAGATGAAAAAAAATATTTTTTTTTTAATTTAAAATTTTAATTTTTGTAATTTTTTTAAATATATATATTTCAAAAATTAAAAAAATTAAAAATTTAATTAAAAAAATTAAAATTTTAAATTAAAATTTTTTTTATAAATTCATATTTTATCATTGTATTTTTATATGAAATTAATGTATACATAATATATAGAAAAATAAGATACATCTCTATACAAATAATTAACTTTTCATCCACTTTCTTTCTAATTTTGGAGGGATTGATTTTAGTGAGTCGGAAGAAAAGTTAATTCATCAATTTTTTCATCATTCCTATTTTTCTTTCTTACCAAACATAATATTTTATTTATCTCTCAAACTTTTCATTTTTCTATTTTTCCATCGTACCAAATGGAACATAAATTTTTAAAAAATTAATTAGAAATGAGAGGGATAGAAATGTTAATACTAAAGAGCTATTTGGAGATAAGTTTAGACATTTTTATATCTCGAATAAGTGTTGTTTAGTAATACTATTTGAATTTAAAAATTTGATTTCATTTTTTGACTTGATGATGTGATTATAGCGAATTAGGATGTAGTTAAATTTTTAGTTCCAAATAACAATACCTTACAACTAAAATTTCTTATATACACATGTCTATTCAAGTCTAGTTTACTAAAGGTGAGTCATACATTGCTTGGATTCTACTTATTTATAAAATGAGCTTAAAAATTTGTTGAATTCATTTATTTTGCAATTTGAAGGAAACTAAACAAGCCAAGGTCAAGCTGCTTAGATAGTTTCATAGTCCTATACATAGTTGGAGTATGATCTAGAGCCAGAGAATGCATTAGAACTAAGTTGCACGCAGGGTTGGATCTTAGGCTAGGACATTAAAATGGCAACAATAAATAAATTGTTTTAGACTGAGGTTCAACTCACGCATTTGTTTTTAGGGCATCGTATATACATTTTTAATCGAAGTTTAAGAAAGACTAATGTCACACATTGAATAAAATTTTGACTCAAGTTTAAATAAGACTAATTTTATTTTTTGGGTTCCCTAGAAATCTGATAGAAAGGGTTTTAGACTCATTTTCATTTAAACTCAATTCATTTTTTCGGGCTTCTAGACTAATGTGAGACTTCTTTATTTTATAATATTTCTACTGATGTTTGTAACCTACCAGAGGGAAATCTGATAAAAACAAACCAACCAGAGGGAAAAAACCAACTACTCTAGACAACTTGAAAATTATTTTATTTGTTACTTTGTTTTATAATTTGATAGTCTTTTGAAATCAAATTTGTTTAGACTTGAACTAAGTTGTTTAAGAATTTTCGGACAATATAAAAAAACATTTGAGTATCTGATATTGAGTTTGATTTTTCTTATTCATGTTTTTTCTATTTTCAATGATTAAATCTTTATCTTACATTCTATTAATTTTTTTAGACTCTGAATTGATTGACCACATTATCTATTAAAAAATATAGATAGATAAAATGTTATCATAAAAATACTATTAGTACATTCACATTCCAAAAAATAAAAAATATTTAAATAAATATATTAAAAAAAATATATTGAAAAACTATATAATATTTTTTGTATGATTATCCTAAAAATTAATTAGGCCTCATTTTGCAAAAGGTCCAGGGCAGTGGAGACGTAACAACCATTGCAACATATACTATATCTAGGAAACCGAGTGCCATCCTCCACGCCGCATTTGTTGTCTAGGGTCAAATCCAAGGGGTTATTTGTTAAAAAAAATGGTTATGAAGAAGTTAGTTTGATTAATTTTGGGGTTAAATAAAAGTGGGATCTACACTTCAAAATTGGTAAGATCAAGTTTAAACGTGTTTATTTTGACCAGAAGATTAACTAAATTTAATGAAGTATAGTGTATAAGACTAATCTCATATTTAAAGAAAGCCAAAAACTTGGTGAGTTAATATACCCATAATTTGCTTTATGAATCGGACCTTAAAAGATACCTCACTTTTATAAGTAGAGCGAGCACTTACAAAATCTTGATTACCTCACTCGCGCGGGCCAAGCTCAGGCCTTGAGTCAACAAGATCTTATTTTTTGCTAAAAATTTATTTGGTGCAGAGCGGAACCAAACGGATCTGAATTTGAATAATAATTTTTCGTTCCAATCGAATTTTTAACTTTTTTGTCCATTAAATTTGAATTTGGCGCCAGTTCCTTATGTGTATGTTTACGCTCCAGAAGTGCCTTTCCCTTTCATTATTGTTCGTTTAACAATGTATCTATTCAACATACAATGGCATCGTGTGCCCCTTCAGACATACACTAATGATATTTAACATGACTGCCTTATAGTCATTCTTAATTACGAAAAATAGACAGTAACTTTTTGCATACTGCTGCATTTGTTCTCTCTTTTTCTGCATTGTATTTTTGTGTGATTCAAATATAAAACACAAAGTTGCGCTCGTTGAAATCTTGAAAATTGAAGAGCTGTACCTTCAAGAACAAAATCCGTTATATAGTGGGAGATTGTTGCTTGTCAACTTATGGAGAAAGAACATATATGTCTTAAAAAAATTGTGAATACACAAGACTCGAATTATTTCTAGAATCTTATTTCTATTATTATTGTTGTTTTACGTTACTGTAAGTGCATTTATGTTATGTTAAATATTCTGTTTTATTAATTAATTTTGTATATAACAGTATACTCGATGATTATAAATTTGTTATAATAGCATTTTATTCTGATTATATATTTTGGGTAACACTATTGGGGTTGGGAAAGGTTGCGAATAATGAGATATTAAACTGAATGCAGGATGAGTTGTTGTGGGCAGCAACATGGCTATACACCGCAACCAAGAGGCCAATTTATCTGCACTACATTCAAGAGGAGTCCATCAGTGCAAACGTGGCTGAGTTTAATTGGGACCTAAAATACGCTGGAGCACAAGTCCNATATGCATTTTCTAGCCATCCACTTCATTTGCTACAGACCTCCCAGTCTACTATACTTTATGTATTACAACTATTCTTTATATTATTTTGTGGGCAACTACAATTCGAATCAAGTTCATCTTTGCCTTCTAATGGTTATGACCATTGAAAAAGTGCATCTGCGAGCCTCTAATTGTGATATTGGAGTCCCTGGTATCAATCAACATTCTCACGTGGAGAGAATCATTTACTTTAGGACGGTGATTACACAACTCTCAGATTCAGAGGACAGCTTTTCTATTTTCATATATTGTGCTTTCTATTATGTTATTTAGATTACGTGATAATTTAAATTAATGCTATTTTTTGTTTTTTAATTTGTTGTAAAACTTATTATATTATTCTACTGAGTCCCCAGGGGTTAGACTTTTTTGTTACAGGTTCGCATCACTTATATGTTTAAGAACATTAGAAAACAGATTTGGGCAAAAAAGAGGCAAGTGTTATAATTATAAACAATACTAATAGAAAAAAGCGCGATTCACTACATTCCCGTAAGAACAATAAGCAAAACTTCATAGGCAAATCTTTCATGGTAACATCAGGTGCTTTAAAACATGATATGATGTTGGCTGTATTTTCAGCCTTTGTATATTTATAATAGAGAAAACAAAGACAATGCAAACTAGGTTATATAGGAATAATTTTTTCATACTTGTATTCATAATTTTCGGTATACATATAGATGGCAAGATATATCTTGACCTCTCACTCTTCTAGAATATTAATCACACAATAATTCTCAAGACTCATCCATTTTGTATTCTCAAGCCAACTATATATACTTAACAATTAAGCATTATCATTTATACGATTTTTAACACTCTCCTTTAATGCTTTGTCGTTTAACTCCCAACATCTTTCTTAGAAACTCAAACTTATCTTTAGGAAGAGCTTTGGTAAAAATATCTACCACTTGATCTTTGGTCTTATAATATTTAACTTGAATCTCATCATCTTCCACAACTTCTCGGATAAAGTGATGTTTGATTACAACGTGCTTAGTTCATCTATGATAGACAAAT